TCAGGTCTTGAGCATCTAGCAATGAAATTCAACTTGCCTAGAATGCATCTGTACAGCGTTGTGTCAGAAAACGCTTCAGCAGTACTGTCTACCTGGTAACCTGTCACCATCGGTGTGTCTGCTGGGTTTGCATCAACCAAATTCAACCTGGTTAATACATCAGCAATTTTCTGTGTTTGGTGTACCAGAAAATTACCTGCTTGGTCCTTCTCCACCTGCAGAGAAAGATAGTTGGATACCTCACCAAGATCCTTCATGTCAAAGTGCTCCTTCAGCTGAGCTAGGGTGCTTTGGTAGAAAGCCTGATTCTTCCAAAACATCAGAAGATCATCAACAAAACATAAACAATACAGTTTGTTTTGCCCCTCCTCCTTGACAAACACACATGGATCAGCTTTGCCCTGGTGAAAACCTAGAGAAAGCAACGTCTCAGTGAGTTTCGTGTTCCAACACCTGGCACTCTGCTTGAGACCATATAAGGATTTCCGCAGTTTACAGACCATTCCCTTCTGTATCTGCATCCCGTCAGGTGGAAGCATAAACAGCTCCTCCTCCAAAATCCCGTACAAAAAAGCTGTATTAATGTCATGATGGGAAACATGCAGTTTCTCCTCTGCAGCTATCTTGAGCATCAGCCGAATGCTCTCATATTTGACGGTGGGTGAGTAGGTCTCGTGGTAATCCTGTCCTGGTACCTGTGAAAAACCTCTGGCAACCAATCTGGCTTTGTGTCTGACAACCTTGCCATTCTGGTCTGTCTTGGCCTTGAAGACCCATTTGCTGCCAACCAGTCTCATTCCTGGGACTACCGGTACCAACTCCCAAGTTTGGTTCCTGTTCAAGGAATCAACTTCAGCCTTCATGGCATTAAGCCAAGGCTCAGCATCTTTAGAGGTTAACTCCTGAACCTCTTTGAAGCTTGAAGGTTCCCACACCTTCTCTGAGCTACTAAGAACAGCAGTTGCTGTCTTAGCAAACTCATCAGCAAATCTCTTTGGAGGTCTGCCCTTCGTGGCCCTCTCAGATCTGCGTACTAGACGCAAGTCTTCTGGACTCATCTCCTCTTTCTTAGGAGAAAAGTGACCAATGGTGAACAGTGGTTCTTCCAGTTCATTGTCAGACGCATCAGATGGTCTGACTGAGGCCTTTGCGCTCTTGTAGTCTGCTGTGTCATCACTGTCACTGACATCAGCAGCAGCGCCGCCCACTGAACTGGAATCCGAACTCTGATCATCATCGTCATCATCATCCTCAGCAGCTTCCTCAGCTTTAGCTGCTTCTTTGACATCACCTTCATCCTCCTCTGGGTAACTCTGGAAAATTCCCACATTTTCCCCCCACTTAGGATTGTACTCAACACTCTTTGTGAACTTAATGGACTTAGAGTTGGTCATCCATACCCTGTATGCACCTTTTCGTACCCCATGAACAAACCATGTGCCCCACGCTTCCCAAGCTTGTTGCTCTGTGGGGTGTGTACCCACATGTCAGAACCAAAGATTCTCATGTGTTTGATGTTGGGTTTCTTACCAAACATCTTCTCATAGGGAGTACAACCAATAGGTGATGACAATCTGCGATTATAAGTGTAAGCAAAATTCGCCAGAGCCTCCCCCCAATACTTATCCGTGAGTTTGGCATCATGCAACAATGTTTTCATTCCTTGCAGCAACGTTTGATTTGCTCGCTCCGCAAGCCCATTCATCCATGGCGATCTAGGCGTTGACAAGTCATGCTGGATTCCCTTCTCAGTCAGGAAAGCTTCAAACTGCTGAGAAGTGAACTCCCGCCTCGATCAGTAAACAGACAGCCAATGCGTTTACCATGAACATTCTCCAACCAAGCACAGAATGCCTTGAACTTAGGAAACGCTTGCGATTTCTGCTCGAGCATAAACACATGAATGTACCTGGAAAAAGAATCAATTAGAACCATGAAGTACCTTGCTCCACCCAAAGAGGGCGCAAGTGGACCAACCAGGTCTGCGTGCACTAGCTGGTAGGGTTTGGAAGCCTGCCTGCTAGACTCCTTGCCTTTTGGAGCAACCTTCACCTTGTTCTCTGCACAAGATACACATTTCATGTGAAACTTACAGGGTTTGATGTTCAAACCCTCAACCATCTCTGGCATCTTGGCCAGTGCCTTCCAAGAGAGATGGCAAAACCTTCGATGTGCATCGTGAATGCATCCTGCATGAAGAACTTTGTTAGTTTGTGCAACACAACAAGAATCAGCATTAGACACAATAGCACCATTGTCATCATAAGTTATACAGAACAAGCCATCCATAAACTTTGCATGCAAAATGTCCTCTTTGCCTTTTCTGATGACACAGACGCTCCTCTTGAAGGAAATCTCAAAACCACGCCCAGTCAGCTGTGGGACACTGAGCAAATTGTCTGCAGCACCTGGAACATACAGTACATCTTTGATGGTAGTGTGCAGACTTGCCAGTTTCACAGTCCCTTCTCCCGCGATTCGCAACGTCTTTCCGTCAGCCAGGTGGATCTCACCTTCTTGAGGCGTGAAGGAGATAAATAGGTGGCGGTCCTTTGAGACATGGCGGGTACAGCCTGAATCAACAACAAACCTGGCCTTGGCTTTTGGAGCAGCCTTTGCAGCAAGCAAAACCTTGTTTTCCACCGGCGTGGGCTTTTGCAGCTTGCCCCCCTGCTCCTGGCCATCAGACTTGCCTTTAGCCTTTGGTGAAGCTGTGCCAGTAAACAAAACCTTGTTTTCCACTGGCGTGGGCTTTTGCAGCTTGCCCCCCTGCTCCTGGCCATCAGACTTGCCTTTAGCCTTTGGTGAAGCTTTGCCAGCAAACAAAACCTTGTTTTCCTCTGGCGTGGGCTCTTCACCCTCCCTCTGCTTCTGGCCATCTGCAGGCGTCTGCCTCTGTTTACCTTTGCTCTTCCGGCCTCTGCAAAGGCGATGACCTTGGTTCCCATGAGAAACAGAGCTCTCAGCTGCTGACTCCTTGGCTCCCCCTGGAGGCTGGAATGCTGCCTGGGATGACATGACAGTCAGCTCCCCCTGCAGCTTGCAACCGGTGCCCTCGGCATCCCTGCATTCACTCGCATTCTGGGAAACAGCCAGGACCTCTGATGCAGTCAAACTCTGGGCTGGGATGACTGGCAGATGGGCTATCTTCAAAGCATGCCACATCTTTCGTGCAGTCAGATTGCCAGCTAGCGTTTTTATCTCCTCCAGAGAGACGGACAAGACGATTACGTCTATCGCCCTCAAATTTTCGGACTCCCATCTTTCTGTCAGAGGAACTGGAGGGACCTCAGACACAGTATGCCACACTCCAAACTGACGCAGCAAGCTCTCACACCATTTTGCCCAGGTCTGATAGTTGTGCCGATTTAACTTTGGGCACTCAGCAGCCTCAGAAGCGTGGAAAAACTCCATTCCAGGTTTCTACTTGAGCCGTGAGCCTTATTCACTTCAAAGATGTCTTGTCTCGGCAGCTCATAAATCTTGAGGCCTTTGGCGCGGCTCCCAGATCCATTAATCTGCCAGCCGGACATCAAAGCTCTTGCCGCGGCAAACAGAAAAGCCTTACTTTCGCTTTTCCTCCACATACCTTTCAGCAGTCTGTCGCAGTCTTACTCTCCTGTAAGTGCTGTGAATCTGGGCCCGAAACCTGTTGTTGGGATACTGCCAGGGAGATAAAGTCCATCATGGCCCCAAGCCGTCTGCCGGACGATCCATCGACCTCCCGTAGGCACGCAGTATCATCAATTAGCGACATGAGTTTCTAGAAGATTTCTTGCCACATTCCAGAGCTCATGCACACTCTATCAGCAGATAGTCACAGCAAAAGTTGCACCCAGGAGAGCATTATTTACAAGTTTATTCAGCGTTGATCAGAACACAGAAAAACATGACCGACTGCTTTAGTGTCTGCGACACCAGAGAGAAAACGAAAGCAACAGAAAAACATAAACATCCTGTGAACAGGAAATACGCAGACTCTGACTCACAAAGCCTGCTCCCTTTTAAGGTGGAACGGAAATATCCTAACATCAAAATCCTCACCACCTTTGGCTGCCCATGTCTAAATCATGTCATGGTCTTCCATATCCACAGCACTCTAGTAGTACAGAATCTACTCAATTTTTAGATGTATTTCTCTTTCTCCAGTTGAGCTCATGTACCATGATGAGAAATGACTCCAAGTACTTATCTGCTGTGAGTGTAGCAGCCATTTGCCAAAACACTGATTTGATTTAGAAAACTGAGAAGATACTTAACTTGAGTTACAAAACTGGCAATCAAGGTGTCGCTAGCTTTCAGCCTTGCTGCATTTATCTGAGAATGCCTGACTATCTTGGAAAAAACCCAAGAATCCTATATAACCACTTAAGGTTCATATACTAACCCAAACATAATGGATTGTTACTATTTATTTGCTGTTTATGGAATTATGATTCACCAGATCCAGTAGGTTTCTTCCCTGAAAAACCTTTACTTCAAGACGCCATTCCCTATAAAATTAAATCCTTTCATGAACATTTCCAAATTGGATGCCACATTCTCCCCCACCCTGGGAGGCTAGCAAACACTTGATTGCTTGAGATCACAAATGTATGTAGTGTGCATTTGCTAGAGCACTTGCTGCCCCAGGAGCCCCAACATGAAAGCTAATAATCCCTCAGTAAGGCCCCATAAACTTCAGGTGAGAGCAGGGAACATGCCTCTTCTGCTCTCCACCTGATATAGGTGACTCCACCTGGCTCCCAGAACTAGATTAGTTTTCTAACTGATTTGTGCTTGTCTTTGCCTGATCATCTTAAAGGTGTGTTGAGGAGGCACCTGAGTACCCTGGACTACTATAGCTGGAGAGCCTTAGATATGATGAGACTGCCAGAGCCCAAGGGTAGCAGAGCAGTCAGCTGGGAGAGGTCACTTGGATAAAAATAATAGAAGTGTAGAATTGCAGGGGACCATGATTATCATCTAGTTCAACCCCCTGTAATGCAGGAATATTTTTTTGCCTGACATGGGGCTCAAACCCATGACCCATAGATTAAGAGTCTCGTGCTCTACCAACAAAGCTATCCCAGTTTACCATGAAGATGACTCAAGGTGCTTACTAGGGTAACATTCGCTGAAGTACTTCACTACTCAAATGAATAGATTCACAAATCCATGCACAATCCATTAAGGTATAAAACTTTTAGAGTCTGGGGTTCATCAAAAGACACAGGAAAGGGAGAGGTTGGTGGTGAATAGGATGTTGGGTTGCACCCCTCCACTGAGCTGCAGGATTAGCACAGTTTGAGAATCCAAGACCCGTTGGGCTGGAGGAGCACATGAAATGACCAGATGTCTTGGCCCATCACTATTGTAATGTATGGGTTTTATTAAGAAATTGCTAACTGTATGAGTCAGATGGAAGGAAGGAAGCAATTCACTTCTGAGATGGAGATAATAAGCCTGGGCAAATATGTGGTTGGATGCATACAGCATATTAAGGGGGAACTAATGTGTGTGTTTAATTACAAGGTACAAATAATGTCCTTTAAAAATTCTGCCTAATATGCTATTTGATGTTTTAATTATGGCTATCAATGGAATGTGGCTCTAATATAGGCTTTTCCTTTCAGTGGAGTACTGCCAGGCTTACCAGATTCCAGATGGTACTTTACTCCGACTCAACGCAGTGCAAATGCTTACCAAAACAACAACAGCAACAAAACCAAACTCCTTCACATGGACTCTCATTCCCCAACCCCAGTCCTGTTAAAAGCTTCTTAGCTAAGGAATACTTGGATTTCTATCCATATTTTTACAAATTATAGAAGACAGCAGTTAAACTGTAGGTTTATGCAGGCAGCATGATGTCAGCTGGTTCATCTGCATAATGAGGCAGCTTAGCAAAGCAAGTGAAGAAACATGGTGGAACTAGGGGGGTGGGGAGGAGAAGGCATTCCCGAGAATGTTAGCAGACCTGGCTTGAGCATTGGCATGGAAGCACAATTCCATTTAGGTATCTGGCAAAGAAGTCTGGGTGGGAAGAAGATGGCTGGTCTCCACTTCCAAATGATTGTTCTGTTTACAAGTGAGGGTTGTGTTCTGGCATATCTGAAAAACAAACACTTGTAAAAAAATTTGCTGAGTTTCATTCATGATTCTGCCCCCCCAAGCCCACAATAAACACTTGCCTTTTGTTTTAGCTGCATAGTGCACCACTGAAAATCTGCTTCTCTTTGGGGCAGTGGTACAGTAAGGCATATATCAAAGGAAATTGTCCTTTCACAATTGAGCAGCTCCCAATTGTTTACAAGGCAAATATCAATTAGAAGGAACCTGTCCCAGTCACTATGCTCTCACCCTGCACCTGATTACCATAATGGCTGCTTACCTCTGTCTGTGAGGAGTGGCGGTTGCAGCTCAGGGTGAGTGGTGCCAGCAGGTACCCATCCGGGGTCCGGGTGGCTGGGGGAGGACGTCATTTCCTCCTCCTCCCTGGCTGCCCTGGGGTCTAGGGCACACCCACAATGCCAATCAATCATGGGTGAGCTTGTGGGCACAGCTTGGGGGACAAACCAGAGGGAACCTTTCACCCGCCTTCCAGCCACTTCCCTCTGGTCCACTCTGGGCATAAAAGAAAGCCATGCCTGGGCACCACTCTCAGTTGAAGCTTGGTCTCTTACAAAGAAGGACATCTCCAGGAGACTCCCACAGTAGCTGAAGAGGAACAAAGTTCTGGGGCCTTGGAAGTGGCTGAAGAGGTTGTTTTTCAGTGAGAAGCAAGCTGGGACTGGGCACTGGCCCGGTGAAAAACCAAAGGCACTTTTAAATGCCAAGATGCAATTGGAGGCAGGGCAGTAGTGGGCAGCAGTGATGGGGAGTGCCAGGTGAGGGAGTTAATCCCCACCCACTCCCCATCAGGGGAGCATTGCACTGCGAGGGTTAAAAGAGGATAATCCCCACTCCCTCCACTTTAAGTGGTGCTGCCTTACTTGGGGGTGCTTTTAGAAAGTGACCACCAGGGCAGCACCTGGGACGAGATACTCCCCTCCCCCTCCCCCACTGGGGAGTCCAGCACCACCAAGTGTGCTTGGGGTGAGGGAACCACTCCAGCTCCCAGCAGTGCTAACAGGACAGCACTTGGAATAGGATACTCCCCGACCACATTAGGGAGCCTAGCGCTGCCAGTTGCATTTCAGGTGTGGCAGACAGCTGCAGGACCCACAGGGCAGTGTGTGAAAGGGGGTAATTTCTTCCCCTGCTCCCATTGGGCTGTCCAGCGTGGCACTCAGGGCTGATTCAGTAACACTGCCTGCCATCACCTCGCTAACTGGCAGGGGACAATATTTAAGGTAACCCACTCAGTCACAGGGATACTTTTACATGCCTTAAGCTTATATATAGTTCTTGAAATTGACTGGCAGTGCTGTCAAGAGCACTTTTGATTCTCCATTGAATAGGGTGTGGTACTAGGGGTAGCGATTTACCTTTCTCTCCTTTGATTGGGCTGTATTGTTGGGATTAATGATTTACCTTATCTCTGTGGCATCTTTCAGATCCATGTTACACCTTCTAAAAATGTGCCGTTGCCTGTGCACTCTGCATTGCCCCCTCCAAACTTGTAGGTGTACCCCTTGTCACCCAGGGGGGCACTGGTCACCTCATTAGCAGCATCCAGGGCTGTGAGGAGAACTAAGGAGGCCAGACATACCGTCAAGAAGGCTAACTGTTTAGCCCTGACAACAGCTGCAAAAGGCTCCTTGGCACCAAGCGTACCCAGGTCAAGGACTTCCAATTCAAAGGGCTTCATACAGGCAATGGAGGCTATAACATTGTGCCTAGGCTGCATTGTGTCTCAAAACTGCCTTAATGCGGCCACCCTCTGCTCCCCATAAGGCCAGCAAATGGGGGTGTCAGCATCCAGTGGAGCCTTTGGATTCCTCCAACTCCACTAGTGAGCAACCACCTCAGAAGAGCAACAGAAAATGCCCATCCACACAAGAAGCAGCATCAGGAGTCCAGCAAATGCTGCAAGTCAGTCAGCGAGGACAGTACAGGTGAGTCATCTTCCTCAGATAGTGATAGCGGGCATCGTGGATGGGTACTGGCTCACTCCTGCCAGGGTGCCATGTTTGCCAGGATAGAGCTGGCACAGATGCACTTGCACACCCTGTTCATTTTCTTTTGAGCATGATAGATTCATGCTGGCTCCAAAGCACCCCTACAGTTCTGCTGCTCCAACAGACACCCAGACAGGAGCTGATGGGCCATAGCTTCACCCTGGTGATTTTGGGTGGGCTGCCCTGATTTGGTGTGTGTCATAAGGTGATCTGTAATTTCGGTGAACACTGCCAAAATAATCAACCAAGAGATGGAGTGATTGATTCAGGATACACATCCCATGCCTTCACCAAGGCCTATTGACACCTGTAATCAATAAAGTTGTGGCCAATTTAAATCCCAGATGGTTGTCCAGTGTGTATTGCAATTCACTGTTCTTGAGCCCGCAACCTCAATCCTGCAGACTTATTAATTAATTCTTAAGAATACTAAGCTCAAAATGTAAATGCCTGGCAACAGGGAAGGAGAAGCCTCCAGGAACAGAGCTGGGTCTTGCTGTCAGCTGTGTTGGCTGAATGAGTGAGATGTTACAAGAAAGAAGAATGTGGGGGTGGGGGATATAGTTGAAAGTCATTAGGAAACAACAATTTCTGCCAATTAGTTATTCTAGTGTTGTTGCTCATTTTAAAAATAAACAACATTTTGTGCATATTGTGAGGACATGAGGATATAGCACTGGAGGTCAGCATTTCTGATTGTTTTAGTGGAAGCATCATCACGATTTTGCTGAAACAGACTGGGAGGCTTCAAAGGCCGGAGTCCAAGCTGAGAGCTGCTTCATACTTACAGGCTGGTGCATGGCGCAGTCTCCTCAGGAGAGTGGAGCATTTTAGAATGAACATGGAGAATGACTTTTTTGAAACCGAATGCAGCTCCACATCAAACCTTCCCTATGTGTGGAAACAGAAGGGATGAGAGAGAGAAACTTGTCAACTCATTTCTCTCTGACATGTTTGTGCACACACACACACAGTTTGACAGAGAGACCTTTCAAACAATCATCTCTATGTGTAACCAAGGTACGTTCCTGTTGCACACTGTGTATGGTTTGAGCAGTGCTGCTGATGCCTCTTCTTCTTCTTCAAAAAAAAGTTGCTGGCACTCACTATGAAATTGTTGTGACAGTAAGTTCCACACTTTTAACATTTGGGGTGTGTGTGTGAAATGTGCCGGTACTGCAAACTCCTGACCCCCCCTCCCCCGAAATAGCACTTGTTTTGACCAAGATGGATTCTGGCCCTACCAAAGATCAGTAATGTGTGAAGGTGAGCTTATCTGATCAGTTATAAGGAGAAAATCATCATATGGTGACATTTTCCTGATTTTCTGAGAAGTCAAGGCTTTCTTGTGAATGTGTTACAGATCATTACTGTAAATACTATCAGGCTGTCTCCCTATCCCCAAGATCTGTGTCATGTCTAGGCATGACCTAACTGTGCCTTGGGGATCAATAGATAACTGTTGAAAAAAAACATAACCAGAACTTTATTGAACTGCCGTACCAGCAAAAGGGGCATAGCTTGAGCCAGAAGTAGGAATCTTGCTAGGGTAAGCTCAGAGGACACAAATCCTTTTACTCACACATTATCCTTACATTTTATTCTGATGAATGCTGAAAGTCAATAAGAGGGGTTGCCTTGGAAGTCAATAGCAGAGACATTTTTCTGCCACTCCCATCTCTCTTTCTAAAAGAGCCCATGTTGCTCCTGTTCTCAGTAAGCTTTTCTTTTCCATTGCTTTCAGCCCAAAATAATTCAGCCCGCCTAGCCCTTAGCCATGTCTCCATCTACTGCCAGCCAGGCATCTGCCTGGGGAGGAGTCCACTACCAGCAGCATTCTGGAGCCTCTGTTGGCTTCATTCCACTGTACCGAGTGTGTTCAAACTTTAAAGCCGTGGGACAGAAGTCCCTGAGCACTGGCTGTTATTTATGCACATGCTGAAAAAAGCCAGGGGGAACCATCCAGCTAGC